TATGTAATTTTAAATATTTTGTTATATAATTATTTAGATATTTTTAATATTTTGTTATTTAAATAATTTTGTTTATGTTTTAAAATATAATTTAGTTATTAATTGAATAATGCATAAAATTAAAATTTATATGGTTATTACATAATTTCATTATGAATTTCATAAAAAATATAAAATTGTTAATAATATGAATATTATTAAACCTATTATAATTATTTTTTGTGGTTTTAATAAATATTTTAAAGTTGTTACATAATTTTATTATAATATTTAAATATTTGTTAAATATTTTAATTGAAACTTTCTTTAGATATACATAGATGAAAAGTGTGGGAGAAGATAAATAGGAATTAGAGATAATTTAGGAGATAATGGGGATAGTTAGTTTCCTAATAAAAGGGAGAGGAAAAAGAGGAGATAAGCCATGTTAGGTAACAACTCCTATTGCTTCTAGAGGGAATCTTGCACCCCCCTCTAAAATTGCTTGGCTTGGGTGTATATACACACACACACACTAGCGGGGACCCGTGCGATCCACGGGCTTTGTTAAGCAAAAGTTAAATAATAGAAATACAAAAGAGTATATAATGGTTTTATATTTTAACTTTTTCATAACCAATCTGATCGAACTCAACTCAAGTTAGTTGATTTTCTAGCATTTCCGATCAGTTTTGGTTTAGCAATTTTCCAACCCGACCAAATTAGGTCAGTTTCAGTTTGGCCATTTGAAACCAACCAAAACTAAGCAAACCCGACCATAAGTATATATTAATATTTTATATTTTAAATTTAATTTTTTTAATACAAGAAAATGGAAAAATTCTCATATTTCTTAGTCTAAAATATTTTATATCATAAATTTATTTTTTATTTATATTTTAATAATATCACTTAATTTAATTTTTAAGTTTAAATATTTTGAACAAACAAACCAAACCAAAAATAAATCCAAACCGATACAACCCAAGTTGATGGGTTTTCACTAATGGTCAATCGATTTCAGGTGGCAAACTCCCAACTTGACTAGGTTGATTTGGTTGGCAAAACAACCTGCAACTAAATTAATAGTCTAATCTCTAATAAATAACAACAGTTTAATCACCAATAATTATAGAAAATTTATAGAAAAAGTACACAATCATTGAAAATAAATTTATAATGAAAATAAATAGATATCTAAAAAAATACAAAAACTACAAAAAATAAAATAAATACTAAAAATATATTAAATTAGTCAATAGACAATGTAATCTCAAATAATAGTTTAACCTCTAATAAATATTAATCTATAAATTAAAAAAAATATATATCATTACTAAAACAAATTTATAACAAAAATACAATAAATTAAATAATAGGTTTTTAATCTCCAATAATTATTGATAGTTTTCTGTTAAATAACAAAACTAAAATAGATTTATAAATGATTATTGAAAACATATTTATCAAAAAATACAATAAAAAATTACTGAAAATAAAATAATTATGAATTTTATTATATATAAATATATGATGAATAGACACTATTATTGTAAAATTATTACTAAATATTCTTTCTGAAAGTTATTTTCTATAATTATTATTTGATACAAGTGAAAACAGTTATTTACAGTATTATTTAGTTATTTAACTAATATTTTTGAAATATTAATTATTTATTGAGTTTAAAAACCTGTAAAATTATAATTAGTACTATTATTACATAATTTGTCATTAATTTTTTAATACATTAAATTATTATTCATATGAATATTACAAAATCTATTATAATTACTTTTCTACTATTAAGAATTTTTTTTAAATTGATTAGATAATTTCGTTATTTTAACTATTTAAAATTTAGTCATATTAAATATTTCGTTATTTAAATATTTAAATAATATTTAAAATATTGAAAATTTTCATTATTTGAATTTTATTTATTTTAATGTTATTACGTAATATTAAATATTTTGTTATATAATTATTTAGCTATTTTTTATGTTTTTTATTTAAGATAATTAGTAATTGAAACATTTAAATAATATTTTATTTTTTAATGTTAAATTTTTACTATTTGAATAACATTTAAATTGAATAATTCATAAAATTATAGTTTATATTGTTACTACATAATTTCACGATGAATTTTGTAAAAATATATAATTATTAATAATATGAATATTATTAAATCTATTATAATTAATTTGTGTGTTTTGAATAAATATTTTAAAGTTGGTATATAATTTTGTTATAATATTTAAATAATTCTAATTTTTTTAATTGAAACTTTATTTAGATAGATGTAGGTAAAAAGAGGGGAGAGGATAAATAGGAATTAAATATAGTTTAGGAGGAAATCTCTCTACTAAATTAGGGATAATTTAGCAGTTGTTTGGCATCATGGTGTTGCGCACCCGTTTCCAGTCCACGTATGCACCACATAGGAATTTAGGCTCCGATGTTAGGCCGTTTTCGGTTAAAAACGAGAGGAAACGAAAACGCGTAGGAATTCGCAAAAACTCACAACCGCTTGAGTAGGAGACCAGCGTTTCTCCCAATGCCAAGGTGACGTGGCTCTGATGTGTGTGATCAGTTGGTAGTTAGAGAACATTATCCAGTGCATCACGAAGCATTGTTGTTTATTTAGATTTTTTTTATTTTTATTTTGTAAGGTTAGATATTTTTAAATATTATCATCATAACCTTTGTAATTTTTTGTAGGTGTCAAGAGATTTTATAGGAATTTATTTTCATAATGTGTGTTAACGATTAATTCATATGGAATAAAATAATCTAGGCAAGTGTTGACGGATTTTAGCCGTTGGATATATCTCTTGATAGATTTTAGTTGTTGGATCTCCAAACCGTTGAAGCTAGGCAAATGTTGTCGTTCGTAGATTGATCATCAACCTACACTGGTATATTATACATGGGATACATTGTATCAAAGAAATAGCTTGAAGAAAAACGGTTTCAACCAAACAAAATATAGGTGAAAATGTTGCATGCTATTCTATGTGGCAACAACAGTGCCAAACAAACAAAAGACTGTTTTGTGGTCGTTTCTAGTGAGGTGTTGCATTATCGTTTCCTCCAAGAAATATATCGTTAGAAACATCCATGATGCCAAAAACTATTTAAGAGATAAATAGGAATTAGAAAGAATTTAGGAGAAAGTGGGGGAAAGTGGTGCCATTTGGCTAAACATTAGAAAAGCAAATCCTTCTTTCTTTGTGGTTAGAAATATTTAAGTGGATGTTTGGAACCGTGGCCGTTTTTCAAAAAACACGGTGCCACGTCGGATCCACATAGGTGTTTCAACAAATGCCCATGTATCTCATTGTTTGGTTCAGCCGATTATTAAAAAATCGGGCATGCCTTGAAAATCAGGACCCCACCGATGCATGAAATTGGCGAACCGTTTTCCCAAACGGTTGATTGATGTGTATCCTATGTGGTGCTTACCTGTTAGCATATACATGAAAAACGGTGATGAAAATCACCTTACCAAACAGCATAGTCTTGCTCACTGCCTACGTGGCAGTAAAAAACGGATCTTAGAAGCATGGGCATTTTTTCTTGAAAATCAGTCATTAAGTCTATGTTATTTCCTTATTAGTTTAATGAATAATTATGTGGAATTAAAAAATAAAAATTTCAAAAAATCAGGAAATTAAGTAGGAAGTTTGGAGCAAGGAGAGGCACCGTGACGTAGTTTAATTTGCTATACGTATGTTTTGAGGAATGAAGAGAGCATTCATTACATGCTATCAGAGTTGGCAAATAATAAAGGGCACAAATTTATGGATAGACTCTTAAAAAGTGAAATAGTTTTGTGAAAGGTGAGTGAAGTGGAGATTGGAGAAGAACTACAAATAAATGCGGAATCAAAGCTATATTTTACTTTATAGATCTTCATTCATCTAAACGGTAGAAATAAAAATATGAAAATGTTGAAGGCATTTTTATACTTTTGTCTCCAAGAAGCAATCTCTGGAAAAAAAAAAAGAAAAATATACCAAGGTTTACTCACTTTGATGATGCAGAAAAACACGGATTCTTAGACTGATTAGATAAATTGTTTAAGAATAGATGGAGAGATTGTAATGGGGTTTCCCTTAAGCCCAATAAATAATTAATTACCAACTTTAGATGGAATAAAATTGCTTCACCAGAGGGGCGTCGTCAGATAAATGTGTTTCCATGAAACTTGAAATTCTATTGCGCTGTCTTTCTACAAACAGTGATAAGCTACATTTATCTTCCTTAAATTAATCACTTCAGATCTTGTTAACCAGAGTAGAGATGATATGGCTCCGAGTTGAAAGATTTGGCAAGATATTTGGAGAGAATCAAATTTCAAAGCGGTGAAAAGAAAGCACCCTCTTTTAAGATCGAAAATCTTCTCGGAGAAAATGAAAATGAAGACCTTGCTGTAAGATGGTCTATGTTTGGATCGAGTCATATGCTTTTATATTGATGCCTGGATTCTTTCTTTTGTATCCCTTTCTGTGTCTGATTAAAGCTAATCGTACTTTGACAAGAAAAACAAAAGAAAGAAAAGAAATGGATGGATCGATGGATACCCTAGCTAGCTAGAGGTACTTAAACCCATTACCCTAAGATATGGTTTAATTAATAGACTTACCCAATCTATTCAAATGTCACCAAAAGAAAGAAATTAATCAGGTGTCAAGAGATACCAATCAAGTAGAATTTCTTCTTTTCGAATTACTTTTTCATGATTAGTCATCTCTCTCAAGGATTCTTAGGTACTAAGCTTCTTGGGCAATATCAGAACCTAATCCATGCGGTTTTATTTAATACAACATAATTGTAAGTTTTATTTATTTCCAACTATAGTTAGCTAGGAGGTAATTAAAATGTTCAAATATTTAGCAGTGAAAAATATCAATTTTGTTGGCAGTATTAATTCCTTGAGGATAATAATCCATTGAATCGTCCTATTCCAGAGAGAGAGAGAGAGTGAGAGAGTGAGAGAGTGAGAGAGTGAGAGAGTGAGAGGGAGAATTTAATTTGGCTCCTCTTTATCTTCCAATGGATGTCCTTCAATGTGACCATTCCATGAAAAGCACAAAAGCAGGACTGATAGTTCTTACACATACATATCTTCATTTCGAATAATCAAAACCCTAAAAGGAGAGGCAGTGGGCCGCCCTCTGACTTCCACTACCATATTCCAAACATATAAACAAATAAAAAAGTTAGATCCCTGATCAAATGACCTCCAGACACTCCTATTCTGTAATTCAATTATTCCTTTTATTTCTCTTTTTTTTTCCTCTTCTTCTAACTCTTCTAATAAATTAAATATAGAAAGGTGGTGCCAGCCATATATACATATGATATAGCAACAGGAACAAAACCCCTTTTTATCTCCTGCTAAATCCAACAACTATTTAACAACAAATCTCCCCTAAATTAAATCTAAATTTCCGCTGAATTTAGCACCTGTTCCCATCCCTAACCCAATTTGAATTATAATACTCGGATTATTATACCACTATATATATTCTCTCTTCCAGCGGTCCCTAATCTTTGGCCAGCCAACATCATTTTGCCTCTAGCTAGCCGAACACTGCCTGTCCTTGAAGGGTCGACACTTCACATTTCCTTCTCTTTCACCTTTTCGTCCTTTCGTTTTCCCCTCCAGGCCTTTTATTTTGCTTGGTTACCCAGACTAGTACAGTGATATTGCTTTCTGGGTTTTCTTCCTTTTTAACTTATCTAATCATTCCAAACTTGGCTTGGCTCTGATATCATACTAGTTGGAGAGAATTAGCTGCTAGTGCTCGCCATAATCATCTTTATCGTTTAATTTATTTTCTCTACCTGTAAGTTCCTCCAAATGTAGGCGTCCAAAAATCAGCAGTGGTTTCGTTAGTAACTGGGAACGTGCTTGAAATTGGCACCAGGCACAGTCCCCGGCTCCTGAGATCTGGTTTGTGCCCGTCAGCCTCCTTCGATTTATTAGAGTTCTGCATGAAGAGTAAACGATTCCATTCTTGAGAGAACTTAATAACAACCAAATTTTCAAACACCTTATTAACAATTAGAACCATTAATTATTCCTCGTTCAGGTAGTTATCTTATGGACGGAGAGAAGAAATTAAGAAAACATTGTACCTGCTGCTGGTGTTGCATGGGAGCTCCATTTTTCATATATGGGGTACTTAAAACCTGACATCAATATAAAGGCATATATCAGAAATGGGTCTCTAGATCTCTCGTTGCAGGTTGCACTTGCATCTCAATTTTGTTATAAGACGGTGTTAAAACATGACTTACACTGACTTGATCATGCAGGAACTTGATGTACTCAATAGCTTCATACAGAACTGAAGCCGTATCAGTCTGAAACAAGAACACAATTCATTAACCAAAACGATCTCTGATGACTTATAAGAGAAATAATCTTTGTTAAAGGAAAGTTCAGAAAATTACCTTTCCAAAAGGCGAAACCAATTGTTGGAGAGCAGTTATTCGGTCGCCCAATTTCTCTTTCCGAACCTAAAAATAAAGCTAAAATTTCTCACCCATGTCTAGTATTAATAAAATACAAAGAGACAAGAATAGATTAAAGCTCCCTCGATAGAGTCAAAACTCAAAAGATTGTTTGATTCTATCGTACCTTAAAAGTTGGCATTGGTGGAGTTTCAATTCGAGGTCTTTTGAAGACAGCTTCACTACTTCCTTTCTTCACCGCCGTGGCCGAGTCTCGAACTTCTTCTGTACTAGACTGGAGGATAAGAGTAGGAAAAGCAATTTAGATCCCAAACCATAGCCATGGAAACGGACAGAAATCATATTCTTTTAATCACCGTATTCACCTTTGCAGTGAGGTTGCTGCAACTAGGTTTTTCTTCGAAGGTTGGAGTAAGAAATTGGGTCTGCGATGAAGGGAAATAGCTCGGCCGAACTTCATTCATGGCAGCTGCAGTGGCGTTCCAGAAAGGAACGTTGTTGGGAAAGTGTAACTGGTTAGTGGGTTGTTGTTTAGGAGGTAAAGATCTCAGCAATTGTGAGAATTTGGGCCACGAAGGCGATAATTCATTCGGGTCCATGTGGTAGCTTGTTGAAGGCGGAAAATTGATCGATCGGTTCTCAAGTGAAGACTGTTGGGGTTGAGGATCCGGTTCGAATAAACCTTGTAACAACGTTGAAGTGCATCCATACGAACTTGAAACCATCGGGAAACTCGTGGGCAAGCCCTGGCAAGCTGTCACTGTACAGTCGCTGGAGCTGTTGACAGAATTTAGACTCTGTTGGTCTAAAGCATAGACCTGATTTATTTGCCTAAAAGCATTTACGGAGGAATCTTCACCACTACCACAAAAATTCTTTGGACTCCATTCCTTTTGGAGTTGAGATTCCATCCCCGTTTCTTGCCGAAAACTGGGTCTCGAACTTAATTCTTCTTGAAGTACGGAATGAAAATTGGTCTGAGCTCTTCCACTACTTCGACTGCAGAAAAAGTTAAAAAAAAAAGAAAATAAAACAATTGGGTTATATTTTAATCCGATTTATTAGATCTGACTTCTTTATACCGAAAGAATTTACAAACAAATCAAACTCTCAAATCTCAGACAATGAGATCAGAGGGGTGTCTTCAGCTTAAGATGATATATACATGCATGGACGGACCACATATAAGAACAAATCCGCACTTACAGTAAAGCTTGATTCCAATCCATGGTTGTTGGTGATGAGAGCCCAAAACCCATGATTTGCAACGTTGAATCCATTAAAACTCCACCACCCCCGACCGAATCCGTTACTTGTGGCTTCTGGGTATCTTGGAAAGCGGTCGAACTATCGGAAGCCGAAGCCGATTCCTCACATGATCTTGCCTTCATATCCACCATCTCAGCTGGCCATCCAAAGCTCCCGGTATCGTTAAGCGCCGTCGAGCACGGGGACGAACCCCCGTTGAAGCCGTTTCTCGTTGGATTATTCCACCAGTTCCCACTGCAAATCCCAGTCTGAAATTCATCTGCCATGTCCAGAGAATTAGAAATCCCTCCCCGCTCACTTCTCTCTTCTCTTTATCTGGGTTCTCCGATGAGCTTCGTTAGCTGAAAATGATTCGCTCGTCCTCTTACTTATACAAAACCGTTTAGCTGTACGGACAGTAGAGATAACCGGAATCCGGTTGACATTTCAGGGGATGATTTGACAAGCCAAAGGACAGGGCATTTCCTTATTCTCTCTTTTTTTTTTCTTTGTAATCGAATTTACCTTTTTTCGGTTTTTAAAATTTTTAAAATTTATAATTTTATTCCTTCCGAACAAAGCTAGGAATTGATAGGATATGATGAAGGCTGTTTTTTTATCCGGAATGCTTAGTCACCATCTCCCGGCGAATAATTTTTAACTTTTGAGGGTAATCCGATGGACGATATTATTTCTTTATTTTAATTTCTCATAAAAAATATAAAAAAAGCCTCGGGCTCGAATTTCGGGGCCATTGGATTAGATTACGCCAACACCAAGATTACAATTTACAAGGCGTCATTGTTCCCTTTGTTTACTTTGTCTCTATTAAATTACAAAAGGTACCCATTGATTGTACTAGATCTCGTAAAAGCCACCCACGCACATCAATCCTCTTTTGTCTCAATTACCACAATGCCACCATCTCAAACCCGATACCAGGAAAGCTGGCGAGTCAAGTGGCGATACACTTTTGTACGGGATGCGAGTGCATCATACACCTTAAATTTAGAAAATTGTATGTGCATTGGCGGGTCACTATCTGATGATACAAATTACTGTTCCAAATTGTGGTTTATGATGGAATTGAATCAAAGACAAAAAGATGATTTTGTACCAGAGTAGCCTTGGACCTTCGTCCCCTTCCCACCTTCAGGAATCAGGATGTATTTGGACTTACTACGGTGGAATTTGTAATTAAGTGAAGATTCTTTTCATCTTCCTCTGTTTGGGTGGACCACTGATTCCGCAAAGTCCCTAGATTCTACATTTTGGGTCTAATTTTTTTTTTTTAAATAAATTGAATAGAAGTATATTATAACCTTAAGGGTTCATTTGGTTTGTAGTTAATCCATTCTTATAGTTTGTTTGGTTGTAACAAGAATGGGAATGAGAATTGAAATCAGTAGGAATGGGATTTATTTTTAATGAAGAGATAATGAATGATCAATCTCTTAAATGGAGGAATGTCATTCAAGTAGGAATGAGAATTGGATTTCGATTTCGCCCAACTAAATAGTTGGAATCGGAATAACCCATTCCGATTCCGATTCCATACCCCTATTCCCGTGAACTAAATGGGGCCTAATTTTAACTTATGAGTATACAATTCTTTGATCTTGAGGGTTTTGAAATTCCTACTGTGTTTGTCATTTGTATTCCATGGAATTGAAATAAAAATAAAATAAATAAATATCATGTCATCTTATTCATCCAAACACATGTCAAATCTATGATACCGGAAAGATATAGCAAAGCTTTTAAAAAGAGGAATTTTATTTCTAATATTTCCCTTTAATATCAGAAATTAAATACTCCTTGCAGAATTCAACATTCACATTTGGATAGATATATATGAAATACACAAGGAGCTTCTGTTATGGAACGTCTGCTTCATTTCGTGAAAAAAACGTGTGGATCTCTTCAATTGGGGCTTTTGTTTTTGATCATGTGAGTTTAGTCATAAAGCCGGTCTTCATTCCAAGGACTACAGATCCACTGTCGGTTACCAACTATTGCCCCTTTTTTACTGTCGGAATTTTGATTTTTTTTAGTTGAGAAAATTTAACATTACATAAAAATATAACCATTAGAACTCTTTTTTCATTTATGACAAAAACCAAATGTGTTCATAAGATTTTAAATATGTAATTAATTTGAAGAAAAAAAAAACAACTCGGTCTCTTTGTCAACAATATTGAAAAACTAAAAGATATAAGTCATTTTCCATAATTTTCATATGAAATTAAAATACCTATATTCACTTTCCTTCCTACAAATTAACTAACAGGGTTTTCGATAATGTGAATGATTTACTTTTTTCCAAAGTATATCATGAATTTGAACATCATGTGGTACATTAGGAACATCTTTCTCATTTACATATTATCATTCATGGGGAGATGTGCCCGATGTACAGCTGTAGTGTCTTGTGGGTAGGTGCAGGTAGGATCCTTGTGGGTAGGAGATCCGGATTCATATATATGAGCCTTGTACTATGTAACCATTGATGAAAGCTATTTGGATTTAAGACTTCCTTGGATTGTCTACACAAAAGATTCAAGCTATTGAGAGAGCTTAGAGTCACATGTTTTAAAGTAACTTCACTCAAACTGAACTATGAATGGCAAGAGGGTGTATTCGGGGAGAACTTTACAAATTCTAAACCCTCCTTGCCACCCTAAACCTCACAACTTGTACCATGCTCAAAACCTACATGGAGGATTTTATAAATTCTAAACCCTCCTCGCCCGCCCTACACATGAAAATTCAAAACCCTTTCTAATCCTACCTTTCCCATGTTTTAGGGTGGGGCAGGTTGGGTCTAGAACTTGTATCTAATTTCCTACAATATATAAGAAATAAATAAGCAAATAACATGAACAAACATTAAAATTTCCGATTATTTGATTGAAACATGTAAAAAACATATAAGCTATTAGTTACCCTTCACATAAGATTCAAAACATTATTAAATTCAACACACAATACATAATTTCATTTGCCTTACAATTTTAATTATCAATGTCAGGGGTGTTTTAGTAAATTTAGTATATGAGATGGAGAGGAGCAAGTTTAGCCTAATAGCATACCCTATCCATACCCGCATGGGTTGTAAAATCCCAAATCCCATCCCAACCTCAAAATCTATTTTTCAAAAAAAAAAAAAAACCCTACCCATCCACGTAGGTACCTACTAGGTAATGTGAAAATTGCCATCCCTAATCCCAGCTTAGCTCATCTCAGCCTTAATTTGTTCTAAACCCTCCTCGCCCGCCCTACACATGTAAATCATTCTTTAATACATTTTCTTGGTTTTTCATTAATGTTGTTTGCACCAAATCATTCCTCATTGATACAATCATTCATTATATATACACATGACCATACTATCTTAGTCTACTTTCTCTAAGAGTTTCATTACTTGGAGCCATTTAACTAGCTTGTTTGATGTGTTCTTCTTGTCACTAAGATAAAAAGCGCATATTTGACTTTGACTGATATTATAGACACCTTACACCTTAATATTCACACATTACAGTCAATAGTCAATACTCAATAGTATTTTATAGTCAACATCAAGAGTTGAGGTTATCAAAAAAAAGAAATATGATGCCAAAAAGATATGATACCAAAAGAGCTTTGAACAATTAAACCTCTTGGTGAATTTTGATGAATACCGTTTGATTGATTCCCACCTTTACGATACCAATTGATTGGTTACAAGTTTTTCTAGAGCTTTGACCAATCAACCTCCTGTCTTGATGAATAATGATTGATTGGTTATAAGTTTTTATTGGTATCATAGTCTAAGTACCTTGCTGTTTATTTCAAATTTTATTTACATATTAAATTGAAAGTTCGAAATGAAATTAATGAATTAGTATATTACAATTATATTTTACCTACTGTGGAAATAAAGAAACAAAACCTAGATTAAAATTTTTGCCCAAGGAAAGTAATTTAAGTGATGTTTTATTAAGTTCAACGGCTTTTTTTGGTATCTATTTTTAAATATTGTCTTAAAAAAAATTAGAAAGATAGACATGTTCTACAATGTATTACTTCCAACTCCCACAGAAATGGTTGAATAAAACATTAGGAATAGATAGCGGTTAGATCTTTTAAACGAACCCCTAATTTAAGCAAAGATAGTTAGTGTAATGGCACAACAAGAATACAATAAAATAATTGAAAGCAAAAGAAATCACACTCCACAATGACTATAGATCTCCTGCCCACAGAAACTCTGCCCACCTCTACCCACAACATATTACCCCCTGTGAATTAGAAACATCTCCTCCTACAAAATACTATGTAGAGAATAAGATGTTCTCCATATAAGACTAGGATAAACATGAACAGAATTCATGTGGGCAGGGATCCGGATTCCTCCACAATTCATTCTTCGTCCAGTAAACTGATGAATTTCTAGTCTCATTAAAAAAAAGAATCCCACGTTTGCTTCCACTTTGAAAATGAAATAATAAAAAAAAATAATGGAGAAAACAGAAGAGAAAAGAAAAAAAGGGGAACACATGGCGAGGCGGCGGGAGGTACACGAGGCGAGTCGACCGATGACGTCATGCTTAAGACCAATGAAGAACCATAGATAAGGGTCAACGTGGGTTCCACGCGGCACGCGCGCGTGCTATAACAGCTGGGGCCCTCTGTCAGGTAAGAGTCAAAGCCCGAAAACGATAGATTGCCCCCCAAGTTGACGTAGCTGACACGTACCCGCTCTTGACTCTTTATTTTTTCTCGTTTCTACCACCCGACTCCCCATGTCCCAAAAGTCCCATCCTTGATCAGTCCTGGAGTCTGGAGGACTCGGGAGTGGGACTCCCAGAAATGGTGACTTTGAGCGTCAATGCAAACATAAATGGTGACTTTGAAATATTAAGCAAACTTACAACATGATCATGGTACTTGGTCATTTTGGTGTACTCAATTCAACGCGCTCTTACAAAATCAACGGGCTGATGGCTGATGGCTGATGCATAGGTTAACCGTTAGCATGAGTATCGGAAAGATAGCAGATAGGAGGATTAGGACACATGCATGTATGTAATAACAACTTAACTGTTTGTTTTGTTGTCAGCCAACGGTTAGATACTTAAATTGTGGGCTAGAGTGGAAAGCAAAGCTATATATATGTGAGAGATTGACTGACCGTTACAGACTTACAATTGATGCTTTGTGTGCTTCTGCGGCTATATAATAAGCCAATAAGTAAGGGGAAGGAATTGGGATTGACCTTTTACGGCAAGAACTAGAAGACAGCTTTTGGTAGTCAGGCCCGTCCACTCCTTTGGATCTTCTACTTGTCATTTCGTGCTTAAAGAATGTTCCCCCCCACCCTCCGATTTAATTACGTTTGTATCCCTCGCAA